TAAATAAATTAAAAGTCGCAAGTGAAGTTAAATGTACAATTTTTAAATCATTTTTGAAAAAATGTAACTTTATATGACAAAATTTAAAATTTGAACGAAGTCGGTCGAATAGTTTTCGAAAAATCTAATTTTAAAAACACGACTTTTTAAAATTTGATTACTCAGAAACTGTTCAACCGATTGCGGTCAAATTTTTTGCAATTTAAGATTTTTTCAACTATAATTAAATTAAAAATAATAATTTAATTCTTAAAAATCAATTTTTTAAAATCAAATTTTTGCCATTTTGATGTATGGCGCAATGATAGGACTAATCTTGAAGGACACCGAAATACAGTGATATGGCACATTTTTAAAAAACGGGCTAATTTCGTTTAAAAAATTATTAGAACTGAATATCTCATTTAAAAAAAATTAAAAGCCTCAAGTGAAGTAAAATATACTATTTTTACATAACTTTTGAAAAATTTAATCTTATAAGAAAAAATTATTAACTTGAAGTAGATCGAATAGTTTTCAAAAAATCAAATTTTAAAAACACGACTTTTTAAAAATTTGATAACTCAGAAACTATTCAACCGATTGCGTTTAAATTTTTTGCTATTTAAAATTGTTTCGACTATTGTTGGATAATAAATAAAAAGCAATAATTTTCAAAAATTATTTTTTGCACGAAATTATCATTGGATAAACGAATTTTATAATTGTGAACAAAAACTTTTCGATTCGTTTAAAAAATTCGAGATTTGGCTTAATACGCAAGAAGTATAATTAACATTAAGGGGTTCAAAATTTCGACCAATCTCTTTGAATCAAGCTATTGAATCATATTTTCCACATAGCGGCTTTCCACATATATTTTGAGGGTCAAGAATACGTTCAGAATAAAAATATATATTTATTTGGAAAAAATAAGTTTTTATGTCCGAGTTCGCAACTTAATATATGGTCTACACTTATTAATCAGCATATTCGACATTAAACTCACGAACCATTAAGATTGAATTCCAGTAAGTAAAAATCCAATTATTATATCTAATGTTTTTCCGTGAGTTCCGTTTTTACTTCTCTTAAGGCCATCAATAAAAGATAATTCTTTTGAAAATAGTACTCAGCATGCCTATGCATTGTATGAGCTGCGTTTCATCGCATAGGATATATACAATATATTAACCATCATACCAACCGTGTCATATTAAGTTTTTATAAAAGAGATTATTTATAATTGCTCTAAAGAGCGAAAATTGAAGTTTTTGTGAGTGGTATTATGGATACGACAACTTTTTGGCTCTTTGTCTTTTGTTTAATAAATGGGCTTTATGAATAAGTCCCATTTATTTAGTTTTTGAACTTCAATTAGCCGACGCTGACGTTATGAATTTTGAGCACTAGACGTGTCATTATCAGTGAAGTTCATTGTATAGAGATGCCTAAATCTAGTTTTCTAGTGAAAAACGCCAAAAAACCAAAATTGCATTATCTGTCCAAATTAAGTTGTTTTTTTTTTGTTTATTAATTTGGCGACTAATTTACAGAGCTCGCCAAGGTTACCAAATTGCGATAAAATGGCTATTTTATAATATAAAAAATGCAATTTACGACAACGACTATTATAAGATAATTTAATTTAATAAAAGTAGTACCGGTTCAAACCGCACACGAACAAGAGGGAAGAGCCCTCTAGCGGCTTACTATGATATTTCGTACATGTGTTGATACGCAATTCTCAACTTTACGTTGTGCTCAACCGATGTATTGAGTCATTCCACGATGACTCAGGGGATAGAGAGTCCGGGGTTCGATCCCGGCGATGGCTGGTCGAAACGAATTCCGCATCCGGCCTTGCATCGACCACAGTGCTGACGTGAAATATCCTCAGTGGTAGACGGATCATGGGTTGGAGTCCCCTTGCAGTCAGGTTAACCGTGGGTGGTTCTCGTGATCTTCCTCTTCGTTTAACGCAAATGCGGGTTAGTTCCATCAAAAACTCTTACACGAAGGCAAAATTCTCCCAAAACTTGATCCAAGAGTTTCCTTGTCTTCTGGAATGGGTTCGAAATTACAAGGCTACGGAGTTTAACATTAGTTGTCGTCAACTCAAAAATTGGGTCTGCTGTTCAACGACGGTTATTAAAAAAAAGAGAAAAAAATCGTCACAATCTAAAAATGCAGCTCTAATAACTTAGTCAACACAGTAGATAGTAGTCTAATAGAACAAATTTCGAACTTATGATAAATTAATACCGAAAATTAAAAAAAAAAAATTTATTCACAAGAGCAGAAATCGGTAATCGGAAGAAATTTTTCACAAAAATAACGTTTGATTTATTTTCTTTCCTATTACTGACATAGTTTGTCGACATCTTAGTATATTTTCGGAGAGCTCTCTATTCTGGACATGGCTCAAAATGCGTGTTCAAAAAATGGACACTTCTCTAAAAGCTTGTTTAAAAAATGGACATAGCTATTTAAGAAAAGGAACTAACATAGAATCTTATTCCGTTTTTCAAACTTATTTATGAAAATTGTTCCGTTTTTTCAAAGAACAAATTTAGGAATCAAAATGAATTCGTATTGTGATGTTAATTTGCTTTAACCAAAGAAAATTTTATTACAAGTACCTTTATTTTTTGTTAAGAACAAATCTATTATTCAATTTTTTTTCAAGTTTGACAAATCGTGGATTTTACGAAGTTGCTTCCGTTATGATGTATATTCAGGCAACTGACGATAAAAATCTGTACGAGCTTGCGATACACTATTCAATTTACAGTAGTTAAATGCAATAACATTATTGTGATTGGCAATTAACACTAAAAACTTCAAAAGTCAAAAAAAATATGCACAAATTATCCTTAATTAAGCTTTATTTTGTTCTTATTTCATAAAAATTGGCATGACATTTTTGAAACACAATTTGATCAAAAAATTGATAAATGGAATATAATCAATTTAATTTTATGAAATTTCTTGTTCGCGTTTCTTGTTTTTAATTTGTAATCTTCAATGGAAAAAAAATAGATACTCACCGATTTCATCGGCACGCGATAAAGTCGCTAATAAACTTCTTTTAATATTTATATTTTCTTTTATTTGAATAAATGAAAATAAAAATAAATAAATAAATTAGCTGAATTTATTTGAGCGGCCAAAATGGTTAAGTACCGAAAATTATTGATTTAGTAAGAACCGAAATAAAGCTTTATAAATCGTATAAATACGTTATAACCCAATTGAAAATTATTGCATATGTGTCGAAGGTTACTCAGAAAAGTCAACTTTTTGCAAACCTCCGATGTCATTTGCAATACGTCTACAAGGCTCGCCGCAATAAGCATAACAAATGACGTCGGCAGTTTGCAAAGAACGGGACTATCTAATTAGCCTACAATGAGCTGTGGTAGCTCAGGAGATAGAACGCTCTCCTCCCAATGAGGTGAATCGGGTTCGAATTCCAGTGATGGCTGGTTCATACAAATTCCACACCCTGCTCGCACCGACCACAGTGCTGACGTAAAATATCCTCAGTGAAAGACGAATGATGGGGAGATAGAGTCCCCTTGCCGTCAGGCTAACCATGGGAGGTTTTCGTGGTTTTTCCCTCCATGTAACGCAAATGCTTGCTAGTGCATCAAAAAGCTGTAAAACTGATTAATCTAGTAACGAAATAATTATATTTTTTTAAATGATTACTTCTATTTGTGTTCTCAAATGATAAAGAATTGCATATAATTTATTATTTACCAGTTATCTATAATTAAAATAGTAATACTAAATTATAATAATCAGTTTAAATATGCAAAATAGATCAACTAATTCTTTACTTGTGTTGCACTAACCAACCATATTTTGGGTGCATAAAAGACAGAAAATTGTAACGTAAATGTCCAAAAACAGCAGTTTTGTCCAGTATTACCATACTAAACATTTTTGCACGCTACTTGTCCAATAAAGAAATGATTATTTCAGATTTGTGTTATCAAAATAAGAAAAATTTATAATACTATCTATTATTTACGACCTATACCAAACTTTAAATAAATAATAGTAAATCGTAATAATCATTTTAAATATTCAAAATATAAACTAATTATTTACTTGTATTACACTACTCAGTTCTACTTTGTGCATAAAAGACATTAAAAGTAGTAATAATATAAATAAATGTCGAAGATCAGCAGTTTTGTTCAATATATACGTTAGAATTTTATTTCTAGAGTTAAAATATTAAATATACTTTTATTAGATAAAGTATGTTTTTAGTGTTGATAATAAAATTGCTCGAGTTTATTTTTGCTAAACCTATTTATTTATTATGTACTTCTCGATTAGAATATTATCAATGGTTAAACGTTAGCATAAAATCCAATTAATTGATATTTAATCAAATGTCTCGATATTTATTTATATGTTATTGAGTTTTTATAAACACAAAATATTAAACTGCAATACTAAACAAATGCAATACAAGAAATGGTTAGCTTTTTTTTTAAACTTAAAATTATTGAGATCAATTAATACTATTTTTATATAATAATAGACAGGATTTTAAATAATGGACGATAATATAAGCACATTTTTATAAGTATTTAAAAACAAATTTTAAACTGATTCCATTCAAGTACACAAATAAGAAAATCGTCACTATACATTACGAAATTGAAACAGGTAAAAAGAATTGAAATAACAAAATTATTTTGATAAAATCTTAAAAAATTTAATTCTAGATAACGAAAAATATTGACAGGTCGAAGGTTGCTAAATTTAAGTAAGCATACAAGAAAATCGCTAATATGTATTACAAAATCCAAACCTTAACAAAAAACATCAAAACAAATTATTTATTGAGTCTTAAATTTAAAGAAAATTCTGAAGTACGCGGAATCTGAAATTTCAAGTAAACAAAAACGAAATTATATTAAAATGCATTCCAACAGTTTGTTTTGTGAAATTCTACAAAATAAATTTAACGTAAGAATTCAATTAAAAAAATAACTTACTTTATAAGCACCATCTACTAACTTCGCGAGTTCATCATTTTCCGTCATAAAATTCATCGTCATTTTGAAATTTATGAACTTTCAGTTTCATACAGGGTAATAAAAATCCTCAAAAATCCGAAGAAAAGTATAAAACTGTTTTCACTTTATCACTGTTTTCAAAACAAGAAGCACGTGTCTATGATTGCTTAGAATTATCCCAGAACAATTCTAACCACCCGACATCTTTACTCCGGTCTCGGAGGTTCAGTAAAACACATTCATCGTAAAGAACGATTCTTCCACGCGACCAGCAGGGTTGTTACATCATCGAAATCGCGCGCCTATTCATCGCCAGATTCCGACGCCATTTGAGTTCCAAAAAAATTCCTATTTTTCGGGTTCGACTGTATTACATTAAAACATTATTCAAGAAAGTCAATGAAAATAAATGTTACACAACTTGACAAACTGTTCTAAATTTATTTATAATTTAAAGAGAGTTTAGAAGAATTACAATCAAAATATAATTTTTAAAATGAAAACGATTCTATTCACTCCGTCAAAAATGCAGACGAACGTTCGAGAGATTTGAATTTCAACAATTTATCGTTCTTTTTTTTCGTGTTCTACATTTTTACATTCAAACATCCTCCGAAAAAATTTTATGGAATTTAATTTTAAATTTTACACAATTTGACATACAGCAGTATTAAAATTATTTTTAATTTCGTCAGGGATCAAAAGGATTTTCATTTATACAAAAAAAGTTTAAAATTGAAAATGAAAACGATTTTATATACTTTATCAAAAATTCAAACATATTCAAAAGTTTTCCTTAACTTAATCTTGTTTGAAATACCATTTCGTGTTTGAGAACAGAATAGCACTAACTTTTACAATGATTATGACTTTTTTGTGTTTTTATCTATTATTCAATTAATTTGTTTTAATTTGCAAAAACTAGACCAGCGATTTTAATGAAACAAAATTTAAATATTATTATTGTTAGTCTAGAATTTTAGCTATATAGTTTAATTTATGCCCAATATAAAAATTTTGATTGTCATGAATTTTTATCGACATAATATAGTAACTTCATATAAATCCTATTGTCAATTTTTTTTTCGTATCGTTTTAATGTATTTTTGTTTAAAAACAGCAAGAATATGTTTCGACTTAATCATGTTTTGAATTCGAGATTCTAAATTGTTTGAAGCATGCATTTTTTTAGGTAAAATTTCATGTTTTATATTTTTAAAATTATTAACCAGTAAAAACATTTCTTACGAAATATCGTTTTTTTTTATTGTAATTAATTAATGTTAAATGTATCGTTCATTTTGTTTATCTGATTCAAATGGAAAATGTTCGAAACTGTTTTGATATATAGTCTTTTTTTTTTCTTTTTTGAAACTTTTGAAGAATTTGGCTGAAATATTATAGGTTAGATTAAATCTCCTATACAACATATTCTTTTCAAGAACCATGTACAATTTAGAGAGCCATCTTTTGGAAACTTGTGTAATTAATATCAAAACTTTCTGTATAAAAGTTTTGCAGCTATTACAATAGACATACCGTTAGTTTCCGAGATTTTTAATTTTGAAATCAAACCATCCTCCATAGTTACATTACACAAAATCAATTTTAAAGCGAGGAAAAATAATTATATAAATAAATATAATAAACACTTTAAAAAATGACTTTATAAACGTGTCGAGATTAACTTAATAACGACAGGTTCACATTTTTCAGATTCGATAATAAAAAATATATAAAATCACGATTTTTATAATTAATGTGTCGTCCACTGATCGCAAATTCAGTATATAAAAATTTACCCTTCATTCATAAAACTGGGAACACTTTGTTTCTTTCTAAGTATTTACCCGGGTCAAAACATACAGAAAGGGTAAAAATAGTGGAAGTCAATCCAATTATGCACATTATCTAATCGATAGTAAAATTCCTCGATGAGAGAAGCCGCAAAAAATGCTTTTTCATAACGAAAACTTTTTCTCAAGGGCAGGGATTTTCAGGTCACAGGGATTTTCCAGCTGACAGTTTTTTCCCTTACCATGTTCGCTTGTATAATATGTCTTTCACATTTAAGGTGATTTTTGCTGAGAGAAAAAGAGTGGATTAAAGAATAAGTGTTTTAGAAAGTTCTGGAAAAGAAGCGGTAAGGTAAATGAATTAAAGTCGTCGCATCAAAATTTACTCAGCTTCATCAGAACTCGTTGCCTTTATTTTTTTTAACAAAGAATAAAAGAGAACTCTAAGAACATGTGTAAGAAAAGCAATACTTGATGTACTCCCGTGAAAAATAATTTGTTAAAATAAATTTTCCTGAATAACTCCATATATTTTATTAAAACTCATAAAAAACATTTTTATATACGTATAAAAGTATGTTTTGATTCCTAAATATTTCTTTTATATAACATAATTTGACATAAGCTTTTTCCTTAATATCCGTATTCAATGTGTCTTAAAAATGATAGATTTGCCCAAAAAAGTTTTTTTTAATATTCGTGTAAAAAATAACGAAAAGTGATAAAAATTAAATGTTCGCTGCGTGCTGCTTTGGAAATTAGGTCTTACAAACACACTTAGCACCAAAATTAGTTAAAAAGTTTATTACCAGATGGTGCTTATAACAGATAAAAAATATTAACTATTGTTCTTGAAATGACAGCCATTTTTAGAAACAAAGTTGAAGAAAAATAAGTCTGCAGAAAAATTAATAGACACCTTTGTAAATGTTACAATTAGATTTCTCTTACATATAACAGAAAATGCTACTTTTTTCAGTCATACGCGCCTTCTTTTTACGAACGTTATTACATTATTCTTTTGGATCTTGGTGAGAATAACTGCTATTTTCCTAAACCGAAAGCGGAAAATCGTGCATTTTTGCGTCTTACTATTTTTCTTAAAAGACTACCTTAAAAGACCAATGTGGTTTTTCTTGCTCTATTTTTCAGCATTTTTTCCGAGCTATTGTGGTTTTTACAGCTTTGCTTCTCACCTTTATTTTTCTTTTCTTTTTTTTTACCAACTTTACGTTTTATATTTCAAATCACTTTTGTCGATTGTTATTTCCAATTTGTATATTTTTAATGCGAATTAAGTTAATCAAATAATACTATACCACTTTAATTTCTTGGGATTATTTATTTAATAATGCAATTATGCTTTATGTTAATAATATACAAAAATGTTATTGGTACATATTCAGAATAAAGAATATTCGACTCCATTTTTAAAAATAGAAGTCAAATATTTTTTACTCTAGCATTTTCGTTTAAAAATGTCTTCTTTTAGTCAAAAGAAAATTCCTATTTCTGTCATCCCGGGAATTTTTTATTTTATTTTTTTCGAAAGTTATTTCAGTTTTCCTCTAGATATATATTACTCAAACTGAATGTAGGTTTGTATTTACCACCCTTGGAGAAGAAAAAAAAACTCGCCAATTTCTGAAGTTTCAAATTTAAAACACGGGTTCTAGATTTCCTCTCTTCGAATTTACTTTCGGCATTTTTATAGAAAATATTTAAAAAAAAAAATCTTTTCTCAAATGTAGAGCGATGTTTTTGTTCATTTTTTTTATTGGAATCCCGGCATTTCTTTCAGAAAGCTACGATTACTTTCCAAAAGTATATTTATAGGATTAAGGAGTTTCTTCCTATGAAACTCCACCATTAAAGGGATGTGAACAAAGAGTGGAAATGTTAAAAATGCTTTTAATCATCTTTATTTCATTTTCACAAGTGCACTAGTTGTACATAATTACTCTGTTTTTCAAAATATGTAAAATACAAATTCATCGGTAAATCAAAATAGAAAATACATAGCGGGCGTTATTCCAGAATTTATCAGAATTTTAAGCTGACAAAATTACATCAATGCAATCAATTAAAGCATTTACACATCAGTTTAAATAGCAGGCAATACAGAAGGGCAATTTAGTACTATTCATTTGTTTTATAGTTCTACACTTAATAATTTTTTATAATTTGTACACTTAAAAATTTGTTTTATAGTTCTACACATAGTTCTACCCCCCATAATTTGAGGGTTAAAAGTTAAATGTTATCGGGAAAAAAATCAGAGAGAGTATTTTTCTGCGTCTTATTTTCTAAATGGCTATATCACACGAGAGAAAATATGTGCAACTGCAAGTGTAAGTGCAACTGTAAGTGAAATTTCTCCAAAAATTGCTCGTGTGATATAGAAATNAACGTCTACTGATGTTATTGGTGTGTACTTGAAAAGGACGGTCACACTTACTGACAATTCTTCTTCAATTTGAAAAGATGTTGCTTCACCTTTTAATATCCTAGAGATTTTCTTCATTGTTTGAAAGCCAGTGTAGTAATAAAAAATTATAAAAAGTAGTAAAAATTAGAAAAAATTAACAAAAAATTTTAAAAATGCTTTAAAATGCAAAATGCGCCCCAAAATTTAAAGAAAATGCCCTATAAATCTCAAAAAATGCTCTAAAGGACAAAAAATGTCCAAAAATGCAAAAAATGCAAAAAAATGCAAATGTCATCAAAATCCGGGCTTTAATGATTACGTAGCAAACTCCCCATTTTTCGTGAAATGCATGCGATCCACCAGATATCACTGAAGGGGAGAAAAAAATTATTCGGAAAAAAAGCACTTTTTAATAACGCCAACTGAAAAAAGCACCTTTAAAAGCTTTTAAAAACGAAATCCCCCAAAAAGCACCTTTAAGTACTTTTTACAAACGCTACGCACCCTGAAGTAACCTTACGGCAACCTTGTGTCTGAATTTTCTTTTTACTGTCACAAAAATGTTGGTAATAAAAACCTTTTTTCAATAAAGCAAAAATATTGCAGTTTCAAACCTTTCATCCTAAAAGGAATAAAAATTATTTTTTTAAAGCTTTTTTAAGAAGTATTGTCACCTATTTAAAATGGTCATTTAGGTCCACAATGACGTTTTAGATGACGTCACTCTAGCGATAGGATCAAATAGCATAATACATTGAAATTTCAAGACAAGGTGGATTTTAGCTGAGCATACAAGACTTTGCGAAAAGAAACCTTATAATTACCTAGATTTAAGATTATTTTCACCTTGAGACTAGCTTTATTCAAGTATTTTTTCACGCTTGAAAACCCTAAGACAACCTCGATTTTTAGGCTTTTATATAGAAGGTTGTTTTTTCCAAAGTTTTGGATTAGGGTAATGTGAGTAGAATAGAACAGATTGTCACAGATCTCGTTTTAAGGTTAGATGGTTTACACGTAAACCGTATAACAAACCTTTTTAGGTT